TAGATAGCATCGACGGAAAGATAATCGCCGAGAGTGGCGCTAGTTTTGAGGTAGATCCAAATCGCAAATTATTATTTAGCTGAAATTTTCATTAAAGAAATAAAATATTCGCTGAATTCGATAGTTTTACTATATAATATAAACTTGTGCTAAATAGTATATATACTTTTACTCATACTACAATATTTAGATAGACAAGCCGAATGCCTCAGCAGCCAGTGATTTACGTATATATAAATAAAGACTCTGAGCGTGTGTATACAGCTCATATGAGCTTCATCAATGACATTGATTGAACACTTAATAAAAATATTTAAAATAAAATAAATTAAAAAAGTATCACTAAACTTATCTAACTGAATAATACTGCTCTAGTTTATATATAGGTTAAATTCAATTTCATTTAATGTTTTAATTAGTTTTGAAAACTCCATACTCGCCCTAGTTGCAGCAACTTGTCTCATTAATTTTGTTCACTGGGTTCGCTTGGCTAGCAAAATGAGATTGTTTATGACAGCGCCCGCTGGGTAACTAACTCCCAGCAACTGCAGCTGGCAGCAGCAGTGGCACTAGCTATAGCTATAGTACTGGCTCTACATGTGACTGTGAGTGTGGATGTGGATGTGGATGTGGCTGTGCCACTGACGACAGCAAGTGGCAAGTGGCAAATGGCACTACGAGTATTTGGCAGTCATAGACGTCAGCTACGACGTAAGCTAGCCAGGCCATAATACCACTAAATATGTGCTCACGAGTGTGCATGTGTGTGTGTGTGTGTGATGTCTAGGGTTGCCATGGCAGGTGAAATTTCTTGGAAACACCACACAGCAGCAGCAGCAGCCGCCGCCGCCGCCTCATTGTGGCAATTGGCTGCGACTCGAGCTTGGCAACTGGAACTGAAACTCCCAGCAGCTTGCCTGATGACTTGCACTGCACACACTCTGCATGTGCATGTGTGTGTGTGTGAGTGTGTGTCTGTGTGTGCTTGGCTCTGTTTATATTTGCACTATGCTTGACTTTGCTCGCTCGTCAGCGAAAAATTTGTGTTATTTGGCTGGCATGGTTGGGGTTTTGCTCTCGCACAGCTGTAAAATTTATGACACCGCACACACACATACACACACACAGTGAGAATTTTTGCATAGTATTTGCACTGGGCAAATTAATTTTGCCTTGACTGTAGTATTTGCGTTTTGCGGCGAGCAACGCCCAACAAAAAACAAACACACACAGAGCCAGTGTAAAGGCAGCTACGAACGAGCGTTTGGTTAATTAAAAATTTCTCATCAAATTATTTGAATTTCGTTGTTGCTGCTGCTGCTGCTGCTGCTGCTCCTCCTCCTGCTGCTGCTGCTGCTGCCTGTTGCTGCTGACACGACAATTGCGTTTGCCGTGCTGAACTTTTTATTCTAGTTGTTTGGCCTGCGGCTGAAACTAAATCATAAAAGTTGCGATTTCAGCTGTTTTTATTGAAAAATATTTACCTGACAGCCGGCTTCAATTTGGAGGAGCTCATCTCAAAGTTTATAGTTGATGTGGTAAGATAAGCTAACTTAGGCTCTGCTAAGCTCTGCTTGGCGACCATACAAAAGTAGGAGAACGAAAAGCTGCCAAGAAATGAAAAGGGCCTTAGAAGTTAAATTTATATTATTTCGATTTTTGAGTTAGATGGCTCCACATTTTAATGCAACCATATGAGGCATTATTTATTTTCGTATATCATAAGATGTCATACAAATAGCCGACGAGGCTGCACTTACAGTGCTCCGACCACTCATTGGTCTTCTAACTTCTGCTGTTGAAAATTTGTGTGTCTTCTTCAATATGGGCTTTATTTTCTGCACACCGTTCATATTATTCGTATTCATCTAGATATTGGTACAAATATCCATGTCACGAGTTGTCTAGCTTCTAGTCTGAGGAACTTATTCCTTATGCTATATTCACTGAATTTAAATTTCTCAATGAAATAAATTGAATTTAAACAAAATAAATAATTTTAAAATAATTTAATAGCTTAAAAAATTTATGGAAATTCACTAAAATTATATAATAAAAATTAATTTAATAGCCTCCAAATTAAAAAATTATTTTTGAAAAAGTGATGCCCCTTTCTCGGGTCACACCCTAGTAGCCTCATAATCTTCAATATAGACTCTATATAAATTCTATTCCATATTAAAATTTAGTTTTTTTTTTTTTTTTTTTTTTTTTTTTTTTTTTGTACTTTTAATTCAACCTGAATTTCATATGTTATTTATATAGTATACAAGCTTAAGCTGAAAGGGTTCGCAATGAAACTCAGCCTCGACCTCGACTTCTACCTTTTTGAAATCATTTCTTATATATGTAATAATAAAAACTATGTGCACATATTTCACTTCTATCTAGTTTATTTAACAGCAAAAAAAATCTCTCACAACTTGTAAATCGTTTAGAGATTTATAATTTGTTAAACTACTCGACTAAAAACTGAATTGCTCCATAAATTGTTGCCATTAATTTCTATTTAAGCAACACTCGAGGCTGACATGAGCAGAGCAACAATAAATCAGACGACAAAAAAAAAAAAAAAAACGATTGTAAATGTTTGTGCAAAACGAAATAAAGTCACGTTTCGAATTTGAGTTGAGTGAGCGAGAGAGAGGAGAGACGGGAAGATGCTACTAGGTGCATTGTTTGGTGTAGTGCCAAAAGGTCAGCTCAAGCTCTCTTTAATCTCTACATATGAGAAGCACCAGCAAATGGAGTCGAATGCACTTTTTTTTACACAGCTTTAGATATAGTATATATGTACATGTATGTGTGTGTATTGGGCAAAACTTTGACATTTGCATTTGTCACAGTCGGCGGCAAAAGTTTTCAACTTAAATTCCTGCATGCATTTCAACACGCAATTGGCATGTGACAGTCAAAATGTTTGCACAAGATGAGACAGTCAAAGAGCGAGAGAGAGACAGATAGAGGGAGAGAGATAGAAATAGAGATATATATATAGAGAGAGAGAGATAGCGACTGTGAGAGCGAGATAGGCCAACATACGAATCGAATGTTTGATATATCAATTTGAAAAGTTTGACTTAGTTTTTCCCACTCGAGCATTTCGATTAAAGTTTTCCATGCGGCAGATTAAAAACTTTTATTCCCAGCTCAACTTTGTGTGACCAAAAAAAAAAAAAAAAAAAAGGATAAGAGCAACACACACACAGAACACACATTTGCATTGTCTGCATTACTTGGCAACATTTTCAGTAGATTCCAAATGCATTTCGGGCATTTCTTTTTTCTCTGCCAGCCAAGTGGGCCATGGGCCATAGAAAGCAACAACCAACAAACAACAACAAAAAGCTAAAGCCATATAAATTCAATTGATTCAAATATGAATTGATGCAGTTTCAGCAGAGCTGAGGCTTAAAAATAATCCATTTATTTAGATGTCTTTAAGCAAAGGCGTGAATGGGCTTAAATTGAAATTTTGTGAATTATGTAAAGTCTTAAAAAATTGTTGAAGAGTTATTTTGAGTGAGGAGTAAAAAAGATTTGATTGAAGATATGTATATTGAAAATATAGAGAAGATGTGTATATAGAGGATATGCCTTGATATGTGTACTTGGCATATATAGAAGGGAAATTAAATAGCTTTATTAGAGTTAACTATGCCAATTAGAGCTGGAGAATAGTTAGCTGAGCTGGACGATAGTTACTTAAGAACTATAGCTAGAGGCAATAGTTATTTAAAAGGCACCGATATTGCCGATAGTTGATTGATCGTTAATGACTGAGTGAATGGATAACAATGAAGAGTTAATATAAAGTGTGAGAGAAGCAGTTGGACCTCGATTCATAAGAGCTGGAATGCAGTGCTCCTTTTGCTCTCTCATTATAAAATTGCAAACAAGAGTAGCTTGGGCTTAAATTGAAATTTTGTGCATTATGCAAAGTCTTATGATAAGTGAAAAATTGTTGAAGAATTATTTTAAGTGATGAGTCAAAAAGATTTGATTTGTGACTCCAACCTAAGGTAAATGCCGTCAAGAAATGGGATAACAAACATATAGATAGCTAAATATTACACGTATATAGACATACATATAACTAGATCTAGGTATATCGAGAATTGCATAAATCGTATTCATAGATCGATTATAGGTGGCTACAAAACTTGATTGCAATGTCTTGTCTCTCTAATTTGTCTTAATTGCTCTTTTTGAAATTAAAAATGCAAATAAATTATAAACCAATTACTCAAAAAGCGAACCTACACTGTACGAAAAGTAGAGTAACTCATAATAGTCGCACATGCATACAGATGTATGCGAGCATTCAGTCATTCATGCGTGTTTGCTTATCTGCTGATTAGTATTTTTTAACCATGTTGCCTGTTGGCTTAGAGGTTCGTGGGCCAGACAATGGGCCAAGTCGGGAGCATTGCGTGTGAGTCGTAAATTAGCGTTTCATTAGAGAACAGGTGAAATTTGTTCACAATGTTGTAGTTGAAATGGCCGGTTGAACAGGTTGTTGTTGCTCCTGTTGTTGTTGTTGTTGTCGTTGTTCCCTCAGTTGCTAATGCCGTGTCCATATCCGTGCCCATGTCCGGTCGGTAGCTAAAAATAAAACATATAAAGGCCGCAAATTAGTTGCATTACTTGATTAGAGCCGCGCAAATGCTATTATTAAAATTCAATTTCCTTTACGTGCAGCCGCGCATTGCATGTCTAATCGAGTTTAACAGGTTTTCCATTTATCACAAAAAAGGAAACACACACAAATGAAAACCGAATAAGAATTTTTCAATGAAACTGTGATGTGAATGCAAATTCTGGACTTTGATTTAAATGTTATCGAGAAGCAAGCTTGCTGCTTATCGATATCGAGCTGTCAGTGTTGCACAACGTCACACATCATAGAAGTGTTGTTCAGTTACAACTGCTCTACATGCTTCTGATGAGTTGAATTTTCATTTGAGACTTCTCACTCAAACTAAAATAATCAAAGATTTTAAAACTTCAACAAAAAATAATAAAAATTAAAAAAAATAAAATTAAGGCAAAAATCTTGTGACTACCAAATTTCTACAATTGAACTATTTTGAGAGCTAATCGAGGTTTGTTGAAAAGGGCAACGCGCATCGCTGTGTTTATAGCCCCACTTAAATTTCACAGCTTTTTCGCAGATAAAGCAGGGACGACTTCAAGATGTCAGATCGCAAGGCAGTGATTAAGAATGCTGATATGAGCGAGGAGATGCAACAGGACTCGGTCGACTGTGCTACCCAGGCATTGGAGAAGTACAACATCGAGAAGGATATTGCTGCCTACATCAAGAAGGAGTTCGACAAGAAGTACAATCCCACCTGGCACTGCATCGTGGGTCGCAATTTCGGTTCCTATGTGACCCATGAGACACGCCACTTCATCTACTTCTACTTGGGACAGGTGGCCATCTTGCTCTTCAAGAGCGGTTAGACCCAACATTGGGGCACTCACACCATACCGATACGTTCCATATTCGATCGGAAAACGAGCCCCAACTAACCTGAAAAAAATGAATCAAATAAAACACATTCTGGATGAGGCGAACACAAACATATGAAATATAACTGTTTAAATTACAATTCATAATTCTCCCAAAAATGGTCTTTTTGTAAAACAAAATTCCATAAATTTCTGTGAAATTGAACACATTTCAAATTATAATAAAGGATTTTTTGTTGAAAGGGAAAAAGTCGTTAATGTATTTATTTATTTATCGCAAAAATATCGATGAGTAAAGAGCTTGGCCAGTGTTGCCACCTGGTTCCCTTGCGTTAGTCAATAGGAAAAATATGTTGAGCTGCCACTCTCTGAAAAACTTTTCACATCTCGAGAAATCTCGATTTCGATTTAGCTTAGATTTATCAGTCAAATTGAAACTAATGCCAGACTCCAATAGAACAGTACAAATTTGTGATCAAAATATCGGAAAACTGCGTCCGTTGGATAAATTTTATAGTCAGACCGACCACAACGTAAGTCAGTCCATTCACAATCTGGATGATACTCAAATCCAGCGCTCTTGCACAGGAACTGTTGAAAGCTATTGAATAACACAGCCCCAAGATGTCCGACCGCAAGGCAGTCATCAAGAATGCGGATATGAGCGAGGAGATGCAGCAGGACGCTGTGGACTGTGCTACCCAGGCATTGGAGAAGTACAACATCGAGAAGGACATTGCTGCCTACATCAAGAAGGAGTTCGACAAGAAGTACAATCCCACCTGGCACTGCATCGTGGGTCGCAACTTCGGCTCCTATGTGACCCATGAGACGCGTCACTTCATCTACTTCTATTTGGGCCAAGTGGCCATCTTGCTCTTCAAGAGCGGTTAGGACCGAGTAGAGCCAGTCAAAATATAGCTTAACCAATACACACTTACCTAATTGTTATTGAAGCTAAGCACACACACACATATACACAAAAAGAACTTATAAATGGCACACTTTTGACATTGTCTTGCAACACTTAATGAAACACACGGATCTATGGAGTGGCAAACGCTATATTGTATATCACATCAATTCACCTAACACTAAGAATGGTCTCATTTTAATTTACACGATTTGACGATGATGACTCACACAGCGTTCAATATGCATTAAATCAACTACATCAGCAATGCTCTGACTTGTGTTTGTAGAATCTTAGTGAATGGGATCGAACTGATGCTGGAAGTTTGAGTTTGGCCATTGATATAATGCCACGATGGCAAGTAATGCCCATTAAAAATGGGAAGTTAGGGTATATCATCATACGAAAATAGATTTTAATAGACTAAAAGAGCCGAATCACGTTGAGTATATATATTTTTGATTAGGAAGACGACCTAAGTCCATATACCCATGTTTTAGTACACAGACTATGTTTAAGCTAGGTATGAATGAATGATAGTCATAGGAGCTCGACGCAGGGCTCGAGGTATCTCCAGGTGGCGCACTTCCGATTAAAGCATCCTTCCTTGTTTTGTTTGGATTTTACGGCTTTCTATTAATTAAATTAATTAACCAGCTAAAAACCACTGAAGAATGAGTCACTATCGCATATAAATTGCAGTATAAATATATATGAGCTAAACATATACATATGTAAATTGGCAAAATGTATAATAATAATAATATNAATTATAATAAAAATGTATATAACAAGATTTATATTAGTATTTTTTTTTTGTAACTAATAATTAACAGGAAATCATATTTATTTATGTTATTATCCTTTCCTTGATGCTCTTCAATATGAACCTAGCCAGATGTGATGTCTCATTTACCAGCGTATCTGCTAGTCGAGCATGCTTCTCTGTTTACCACAAGCAGCCGCTACCTTCGAGCATTGATCAAGAGTCCTGAATGAAGCTTTGTGCATGGAGCTGCAGCAGCCCATCGCAAGCAATGCAATGCAATGCTGCATGTGTGTGTGAGTGTGTGTGTGTGCAAGCGTTAACACCTGACCGTGGCAAATAAAAATGGCTTAATTAAGTTAATTAAAATATTGTTGCTGCTGGCCTGCGCACGCTGTTCGCATTTATGTGCTTTTATTATCTCGCCGATTGGCAATTTGTTGTTTTTTTTTTATTGTATTTTTCTGTTTTCGAACCTTTGCAGTTGCCCTCGAAARAGGATGACGACGAGTGCATAATTATGCCCGGGCACGTACTAGGCCGCAGCATGCGAAAAGCAAAGAGCCCAATGACAATACTATTAATAAAGTTGCTGGACCGCACTGTCCATGTGTGTATGTGTGTGTGTGTGTAAATTTTTGTTTTAAGTACTCGGGGCCAAACAGATGCAAATGTTGTCCTTTGAGCCGCTTTCACGGCTCGCCGACTTTTGGCCTGGACAGCTCGGCAGCTGAATGGGATATGCGAATGCAATTGAATTGCCGTCCAGTCGGCAGGTACAGACAGCGTCTCATGCATATTTCATGCGCTCGAAATGCTTTCCATGCTTAACAAAATCCTTTGCGCCAATAAAAATTTAAGTGCCACGCACGCACATGGACTCGCAATCAGGTTTATGTGCTCAACCGTGCTTTATTAATATTTTTACGTTTGTCAATTTATGGTAATTTTTTATGTTCTAACATTAAAACATATACGTATACATATAACAACAAAAGGCTGAGTCCGCTGCCGCACTCAGGTGAAGTCTTCGTTTAAGGCAGTTAATGCTCGCCCTGCCGACTGCGACCTCAGCCAGACCTTCCACTCTGCTGAGAGACCAACCAATTCTGCTTAGCTTCTGACCCCAACTGAGCAAACGCCTGCGTTTCTCTTCCGCCCAGTCTGAGGTGACTTGGCCGGCAGCTGTTTACGCCAGCTTGAGCTGAATGAGCGCCAGAGCGCCATTTGTTGAGTCTGCGCAGTTGACACTTTGCCGCTCGGCGAGTGGCGAGTGCGACTGAAGAGACTCGTTGGCTCGATACTTGAAACTTTTTGTGAATGCTCAATGATTTTGAAGGAGTTGTAATATTTTATTATATTTAAACTATTAATTTTTATTTTTTATTTATTTTTTTTAATGTGCTCTATTTAGGTTACTTTTATTTATTTATTTAT